AATTCACTTTTTTTCCAATTTCTTAAGCTCATAGCAGACGACTCAGCGGCAGTACGAAGACAATAGTAGGCTCTTATGAAAGGTAAGACATTCAGCTTTCATACGAGTGGTCAATTATGTAATTATCTTAAGGGGTTGTCGAAAAACTGAAAAAAAATACGAAAAGCATTTTCTACAGCTCATAGAAGGCGACTCTGCAGCAGTACGAAGATGCCAGTAAACTCGTTGGAAAGGTGAGATATTCAGCTTTCATACGAGTGGTCGATGATGTATTTATCTTAAGGGGTTGTTGAGAAATTCACGAAAAACTGTAAAAACTGAAAAAAAAATACGAAAAGAACTTTCTAGACTCGTTGGAAAGGTGAGATATTCAGCTTTCATGCGAGTGGTGATAGTAGTTTTTCAAAATAAATTAATTGAATGAAAGGAAAAAATAATACGAAAATATTTAATACACTATTATTATTATTATTATCATCAATAAACATCGACTACAAACTATTTCTTCTGTGAATAAAACAACATTCATATATTATATATATTTCATTATAGAAAAAATAATATTCGTAACTTTATGGATTTGGTTTTGGAAATTATCAGTTGCGTTCAATTGGACTCGTAGTATAACGAGGAAAAAAACAAAATTATATAATATTAACAATCTCCGAAGACGAAAGAACAATGAGTTAATTACTAAAGTGTAAATCTCGAGGTAAAACATGATTAAGTGTTGAAGGAAGGTCTTGCAACTAATTGAAACAACATTAAATAGAGTTGGATGTGGAGGAGGGAACGATGATGATGATGTTGGGAGGGTGGGTTTTTCATATACAATGCGTTGTAAAAGTATAAATAAAAAAAAGAAAGAGGGTTTTCTTGTATGTTGGGCTTTCATCAATTGCTTGCGTTTGATGAGGATGACGTGGATGAGGCGTCGGGGGAGGCGGAGGATTCGGTGGAGGTGTTCGTGGATGAGGCCGAGCCGGAGGACGAAGATGAGGAGGAGCAGGAGGAGGCGGCGGCTGCTGCTACCGCCGTTGTTGCTGCTGCTGCTGCTACTGCTGCTTCACCTGCGGCCGCCTTCTTCGCCGCAATCTCGGCAGCCTCCACGGCGACGTCCTCCAGCTTCCTCTTACGCCTCACCAGGTGCGTTATATTATTGACCATCTTTACGGGGGAACTCACCGTCGGCGCTTCCTCTTCCGGCTTTATTGTGGCCGCCGCCTACAAACGAAAATCAGCGACGATTAGCAAATTGAGAATTATTCAATAAAAAAGACAACGACGACGACGATGATGAAGACGACAGCGACAACAACAAAGCGTGCTCGCAGCAGTTGCAGCTGGAAGGGAGGGTTGGAGAGAGACAGAGATAGAGGAGGAGAAGATTTGTCACCGATCACGATAAGTTAGAAGGAGAGAGCGAGTATTATTGACAAAGAAGAAGAAGTAGTAAAATATGATCTTCTTCTTCTTTGTATCAGTCGAAGTTGTATCATTTTTCAAATAAAAAAATAAAAACAAAAAGATCACATATAAACGTAGGCAAATAAAATGTTTGGGGGGTGGACGGGTTGACCATACTCATCATTCCACATCCAGACGGCGCATCTTATCGGCGACTATCTCATTGACCGCGTTCTTTTCATATATTATTACCTCCGTTTGGTAGTTGCAAAGATCCGTGATCTTCTCGTCCAGGTCGGGTAGCAAGTTCGTGATGTCCTTGATCTCGTTTGCGTCAGAGGTGCCGGGAATTTCGATAGCCTCGAGCACGGCCATCCGATTCTTCAACAGCTCTACGGTCTTGCGGTAGTTGTTGATCGACTCTTGGATATTGTTGTTGGCGGACAGGGCCATGCCCAGTTTGTAGTAGGTCTCGGCAAGGTGGCGCTTATCCTTGGATTCTGTGTACCTCTCCTGCTGGATCTCAAGAGCGGCGGTGATGTCCGCGATGGCGCTCTCAAAGTTTTCGCCTTCCATCGATACCTCGCCCAACGCGACCAGACACTCGGCGTAGTCAAGACGACCTTCCTCGCCGCGCCTCTCCAAGATGATCTTGGCCATCTCGAGCACTTCCCACGCCAACTGAAGATCGGTGGGTTCCTCCTCTTTAGCTACAACAATAAAATAAGTAAACTTCGCACAGAGTAGAAGATGTGAATCACTTACGTGCGGCAGCGTCTTCGGCAGGCGTCTCCCCGTCCTCCTCGTCCTCCATCGCGCGGCTGGTGGCCGGCTCACCGTTGATGGATATATTGGCCAACTCGGATTTGTTCTTGGCATCGTCCTGGTCGTCGTTGCCACCGTCCTCCTCGCCACCGGCGCCGACGGAATCCACGCTTTCGTTCGCTCGATCAGCCGTGCCGCCCTCATCATTATCCTGTTCCCCAACGTCCTCCTCTTCGGCCGTCTCGTCTTCTAGCTCGATCTCCTTCGGTACGGCATCGCCAAGAGGATCCCCGTCTTCGCGCACCAGCTCCAGCAGGGCCTTGCCGTAATATAGATACACGTCGCCCAGACTGTTGTGCTTGTCGTCCTTGTACTCATCCATGAGCATCTCACTCGACCTGCTCAAATAGGCGGCGGCATCGGAATACTCGTGCGCCCAGAACGCTTTCTTGCCCATCGCGAGCAACTCCATCGGGCTTTTGTTCACCATTGCTTCGGTCGCCATCTGGAAAAATAAACGCAACAAAAACAATCACAGATCGAGCCACCAACGAAAAGATAGTGCAGCAACAGCACAAACACACATACGCACAGAGAGAGATCAACGATGCAAACCTAAAAACAAAAACAACAAATCGGTCCTCCACTCGACCGATTTACGCAAGCGCCCCGTCGTATTGATGTGCGTCGCGACGTCGTCGCCACCATCGCCAACGGCGACTCCAGTTGCTGAAATGTCGCGAGACGACGCGTAGTATTCTGTTCCCGGCCAAACCACAATCCGCACAAACCAAAACGAGATTAAATTAAAAAAAAAATAATAAAAGCACTAATCTTACGACAACGAACAAACTCTCTCTCTCTCCGAAAATAAAAGGTAACGAATCTTAATATTTGTATAAACGTAATCAGTAATCAAATATAAATTTGAAAGCAATAACGTTGAGCTGTTGCTCAACATTAACAAAGAGAAGAAAAAATAATAAATAGAAGCAAGTTATTATAGGCATTTTCCCCGACGTCGTTCAATATTGTGCGATGTGACGCACTTCCGTTTTTGGCGCTCAATTTCGAAATGCGTTAATCAAAATCTTCTCGATTCAAAATTATTTTTTTTCTTTTTGATGATGAAAAAGAAAGTACAAGCTCATATAGAATATTAATAAGAAAGTGAAGGAGGCTGTATTTCCGCCGCAAAACGTATACATTGTCCGCAATGAGGATAAGAGATAGAAGACAGGGGGGTCGTTTACCGCATTGGAATATTCAACAGATTGCATTCTCAAGCGAATTGGAACGGTTCCCAATCCTCCGGCGCGTTTGATTAGAAAATAAAGGGGTTGAAAGCAACGTCCGCCCTCACTTCTAACGGAAACCCGTAAAGTTCGTGGCCTCAGGATAACATTTCATATAAAAAAAAGAAAGAAAGGAAAATCTCGACAGGCGATGGCCTTAGAAACACCGCTCAAGTGCTTTATGCGAGCGGCATACATAAATAATTTAACGTCGACTACATCAAGTTCTCGTTCGATGTTAATGAAATGGGGAAAGGGTAGTTAAAGGCCCGAAACGAATAAAGCAAACTAGCGATAAAGATTGATCCGATTCAATTGCGTCGTTTCGCAATTTCATGTCAAGGTTGCTTTTTTTTTCTTCTTCTCGTGCCCCCACACGAACCCGTCTGGCTGGAATGGCTATGTTTTAACGGGCGAATTAGTTTAAAAATAAAGCGAAAAATCGATTTCAGATGGGGGAACGATGATGTTAATGCCGTTCGGTTTGTAAAAGTTTGGGTTGCACTCACACATTCATGGCGAACTTGATGGAAAGTAAATAAATAAATATTCGATAAAGAAATCACGGCATGTCAATTTACATCGATTGAGATTGTTTACGGTTAATGCCAACATGCGTTTAGAATTGAATCAAATATCCGTTCAAATTCCATCAATAATTAACAGTAAAATATAAACCTGAAATTGATTGATTCAAGAAGAAAAATATAAAATATTTATCAATTGTTGTGGTGTGTGTTATCAAGTGAAAATGGGAGGAGGAGCAGTGTGGGCGTGGCGCTAGATGTAAGCTCCAATCACGTATTTGAAAACCTCCATCATCACGCCCCGAAGCTTCGTAGACCTCATCAAGGGTGCGACCAAGCTGAAGGGCGGCCAAGAATACAACCTGCTCATCGTCGACTACGAAACCGCGATGGAGACGGGCGGCGGCGACGCGGACGACGAGACCGGCTGGAATTGCAGCGTGCATCCCAGGTGAGAGCAGACGATATTTCGCAATCGCAACGTTGCAATGTGTACGGATGCAGCGTCTTCTTTCTCCTGGGGACGCTCGTGATGACGACCTGCGCTACGGGGATGCTGTGCGCGGCAATCATGACCGACCACTGGGAGGAGGTGACCTGGGACAGGCGCGCCTTGCAGACGATGTCCAACACCAGCCTGGACATCCAGTGGCTCTTCGACGGCGTCGCCAAGGTGTCCACGAATAACGAACACGCATTCCTCGTGCCAATACACGGCGGCATCTGGACGTTATGCTTCAGTCTGACCGGTGAGTCTACGCTCCAATTGGACAATTATCGGAATGTATTAATCAATGTGAGTGGTCGATTTCAGAAAAAGAGATACATTTGCTCGGTAAGATCGGGTTTCCGGAGCAATCATGCGTCAACTATCTGTCGGGTGGACTCGACGGTATGAAGGTTTGCGAGCCGAAGGCGGACTGGCAAAGGCGTAAGTGGATTTCCCTCCATTCCCAAATGCAATTATCGTCGTGTTATTAATATTATTTTTTATATCAAGGGATGCAGAACTTGTCGATATCTTGTGCTTTGGTGTGCCTGATCATCTTGGGAAGCGCCGCTTTGGTGGGAGCTTTTGGTGTGTGCCAGCACCAGATCAGCGCCGTCTTGGTTACAGGAGTCATGTACTTGTTGGCAGGTTAGTAATATATTAATATCCTTTTATAGGACGCTTAGGTAACAACGGCAATTACTTTCAGCTTCGTTCGCGCTCTTCACGCTTACGATAATCCATTTCAAGAGGGTGCAGAGCAGACCTTCGCGCTTCGACTTGGCGACAGACGCGAACGGATGGTACCGGATGGACGCAGACTGCACTGTGGACGGCGTCGTCAGTCCGTTGGGAAGTCGCGGCTACCTCTTGTCCGCCCACCTGTTGGGCGCCCGGGTGTTCTCGACCTCTTGGTCCTTGGACTTAGGCTGGGGAGGGGTCATCCTCTGCGTGATGACCTCCGTCCTCTGGATCCTGCTCTCCAAGATCATGCGCTTCAATCCCATCTCCAGCATGATCAACTAGTATTTTCTTTCTATAAATATCGAGCTATTTACGCGCAAAACCGAAACATGTAGATCGCACGAGACGATATAGATTTTTTGAAATCTGTGATTACGGCTCTGCCAAGCGCTGTCCTCTACGCCGGCTTTTCTCAATCCTGCAAACCATTTCAAACAATCCACGTGCATAAATGACAGTTGCAAAATTACATGGTTGAGAAACACCGGTCCTAGAGTCGACTTAGGGAAGGGTTGCCTAGGGTGAACTTTGAGTTGCCTAAGTTTACGAGAAGCTTCGGAGGTTAACCGTCCACAAGCATATGAACGCAGAGAGCTTCTTACTCTATTACATACATACATTTATCTATTTACAAATTATACATTTTCGCAAAATCTTTTTGACTTTCTACGAAGATGAGCACACCCCGCATGCTATTTTCGTGTGTACATTCTTGTTTATTTTGAAGGATGAAGAGAGGGCGCTGCGTAACAAATTGTGATAAAAATTAACGGATTAAAAGGCGAGATGAATGCGAAAAGAAGATGTAACAAAAAAAAACAAAACACGAAAACGAGAGAGAGGTTATATAGTTTTTGCTAACTTTTACATTACCGAACATTTTACTATGTACACAGCTTAGGGACAATAATTTCCTTCCTTTTGTTATATATATATATGGCTATTGCTATTTCATGTTAATTGTTTGTGCACGAACCGGTGGCGATGGCAACGACAAAACAAAATCAAAACGGCGGCGATTTGTTTGCTGCTTTAGGCTGACGAAGAACAGAATATTGCGCTTGGAGGAGACAATAGGCATTACAACGCACATTTAAAATGCCTTTCTTGGTTTACATGTAAATATTATGTATGGAATAAAGAGGAAATGACGTTCGGAAGTTCTTACCTTTATGTTTATGTTGTTTGTTTGTTTGTGAGCTGGTAGCAACAGGTAAAGTAGAATGGGAAGGCTGACACCAGTTGACACCCGTGAAACTCGTTACCAAATGGCGAACGCTTTGCGGCACCCGAACGATACGAGCAGAAGCAACAAACGGTTTCGCAGGGGTCAGACCAATCGTGGACCAGTGTTTTCCCTCCATGCAGTCTCGCCAACCCAATTAGAAAGTCTCCAGATTTGAATTTGTCGCGAGATAATATCTGACGGAACAGTTAGTCTGGTTGCATACGACACAAAATCGACGTTGCCTGGAACACATTAATATTTACGTTATTATATGAATCTCATTGCATCGAAATTACTCTTGCCTTATTCAATTATTTAAGGGATGTTAGGATTTGTTGTGTAATGAAGGTAATTTGATTTGTAAAGTGTACGAATTTAAATGGTAATAAAAAAATGCTTTTAATATAAAAAGAAACTTAACAATGTTAATGGTGTAATTGCTGGCTAATTACTGATTCTTTTCAGGTAAGAATCCCATAGCAGCTTTTTGTATTCGACGGCTGCTGCGGCTGGATTGGAGGCTTTTGTGATGCCGCGACCCACGACAGCAACATCGGCCCCTCTCTCCAGCATCACAGCTTCCGGAGTGTTGTACTGTTGTCCCAAGCCATCCCCAGAGGAGCCCAACTGAACGCCGGGCGTCAACTGCACGAACCCAGGTTGCTCCACGAACAACTTACTCTGACACACGAATCCGGTGACCAGCGACTTCTTCTCCACGCCCATCGCAACCGTCGCCTTGACGTATTTATCATCGATCAGACTGCCCTTGGCGCTGCACTCCGCCAACACGAAAACGCCCCTTTCCGCAAGTCCTTCCGCCTGTTCGAGTGCTTCCAGAACGCCGCTTCCGGTCAAGGAGTGCGCCGTCACCAAGGGTGCCCACGACGATACGCCGTATACGCCCTTGCTGTATTGCAACTGGCAAGTTTTACCGATATCCGCAAATTTCCTGTCCTCGAACAAGACGAAGTTGTGCTTTTCCGCAATGCTCTTCAGGTTCTTCACGAAGACCTCGCTGAATCCCTCCACGATGTCGATGTGCGTCTTGAAGAGACAAACGTGCGGTCCGACCGCCTCGGCCAGATTCAGGATCTCCGCGGCATCTGTCAAATCAGCGGCGATGCACAGATTCGTTTTTTTCTCCGACATGATTTTGAACAGCCTCTTGGCGATGGCGTTACTCGAGTGCGAGATCCTCTCCTCGTACGGCATCTTCAGACGATCTACAAAGCAACCACCGTACGCATTCAGTAAAAACAAATCCAAACGCATAGAAAATTGATCAATTCAGTACCCAATTTCGTTTTGTTCAAAACGGAGGCGTCGACTTGGGAAGCTTTCAAGTAATCGGCAACCTTTTGGCAAGTTTCGTCCGTAACGCAGTCGGCTTCTTTTAGGAACTTCATCAGTTGAGTCATGGTGAGGAGGGCGTGCATTTTGATGCCGTTATCCTTCAACAGCTTTTCTCCACCCTGCTCACGGTTCAGCAGAACGACAGCCTCCGTAGTTTGAATATTGGCTGCCGTCAAATCCTTGACCGTCTCTGCAAATTATAATTGAATCAAAAAACGCGTTCAAGTAAATGATCGAAATCATATTGGATTCTCGTTGCTTCAGTTTCTTTGGATTTATCACCACGTTCTAGGTCTGATCCGAAAGATGGTTTAAGAAATAATCATCATTAAGTAATCTATTTTTTTTTTTTGGCTTATCATGTAAAAATTGAACTTTGATTATCTACAACAAAGTTGATATTGAAACATAATCCAATTTGAATAAGCTTTATATGTGTGTATACACAAACATTAAGTAAATATGTTTTACTTATCAGGAAACTCTAACAGAAGATTAAATATTTCCATTATCATGTTACCTAAAATGCTGCTTCCAGAAGTGACAACATCTTCGATGATGAGGCACGTGTCATTGTCTTTGTAGAAGCCCTCGATGAGTTTCTTGGTGCCATAATCCTTGGCTTCCTTTCGTCTCATGACCATTGGTAAATCCACTTTGTACGAGATTGTCGTGGCAATGGGCAAGGCAGTGTAGGGAACGCCGCAGACAATGTCAAAATCTTTCATGTGTGGCATCGATTCGATGATCAAGTCGGCAAGCACACCCTGCATAAAAATTGAATTATATAGTGAAATGGGGTTGTTGCATTCCACTCACCATGAGCTTGGGGTAGCTGACGATAACCCTCAAATCGCAATAGACCGGGGTCATGAGGCCGACTTTCGTCTTGTACTCGCCGAACTTCACCGCGTTGATCTTGTACAATTCGACGGCGAAGGCCTTCAGGCGATCCTCGTAGCATTTCGACGAAGCCATCGAAAAAGAAAAGAATTAAAAAAAACAATAGAACGACTATAAACAACCACTTGTTGTTGCTATCGCAACCTCATTGAAATTCACGTGTCAAAGGCGAGTGTTGCCAAATTGCGTCGGTCGGTTGGTTACATTTGGTTGGTAGCGTGGATGGGGGCGCGCTTCCTGTGCGCGCGACTTTCGAAAAAATTTCACATCTACAGGGTGTTTCCATTTGCAAGTCGTCAAAAAGAAAATCTTGGATATTATCAGCCCAAAATAAAACATTTTCATGTACGTTGTTCTCCGTGTGTATAATATATTTAATTCCATTTTTGTTGTTGTTGTTGTATAGAAATAAATTACAATTGGATTGATTCTCACTCTATTTTGCGACAGTGATGGTGACATCCCTCTCTCTCTCTCAGTTTGCAAACACGCATCAAATACACCTTTAATTGCTAAAAGTAAACGAAGCAGTCTCTGTCCAAAAATATGTACAACATTATTCAAAGCCGAAAATAGTTTTGCGTCAACGATTGTCTTCTTACAAATATATATATATGCATCACATTCTCGCGCACAGACGTACCAGAATTTAACAAAAACAAAACACACATTAAGAACTTGAAAACCAGTGTAATTGGGGTTGGCGTTGAAAATGAATAATAATAAGAAATGGAATAGAAACAATTGAACGACGACGTTCTCTAGGCAACGGGGTTAAATTCACGTTGGCCAACCGCGCGAACGAAAGGAACAAAAGTCACCTCGTCAATATTATTATTAATTATTATTATTATTACAATATAACAGCACTGTCAGATCACTTAAGATTACTCGTTTATAATATATATATATATTCTTCTTCTTCTCCAGTTTTCATATACATATATATTACAATTACAATTATTAATATGGCATACATTTTGTACTATTTTCTTTATTATTTTTCGCACCCCTCCTCCACTCAAATCTTAAATTTATTTGCGTTTCGTGGCTGATTTTCAACGGCAAACCGTCTTCAGCGAGAGAGAAATTATCAGTTTTTCTTTTTTCTGTAATTAAGATGTACAGGTGAAGGAAACCGGAAAAGTTGTTCAGAGCGAAGAACGGAAATGGACTAGAATGCGAAGGGTCGGTCGGTCGGTCTTCGCGTTGCGTTATCGAAAGAAATACAAGAATAACAAACAGAAAATACATGGACATGCAGAAATAAATAATTGAAAGAAATGTAGGATCATATTTTTTTTTGGTTTCTTTTCGCTCTTCGTTTGTTGTTTATGGGCGGATGAATCGAACTTCGGGGTCACGCCCACAGCAAACACTCGCGCACCAATGGGGAATGCAAACACGGAGAACGAAATGAAAAGAAAAAAACTATTAATTAGAAATATGAAACGAAGGAATTAACAGCAAAATGAAGGAAATCTACGTAGTTCACCAAAAATATACATCTCATTTTATGCTCTTTCTCTTTCTGTGTTTCGTTTTGTCTCTCTCTCTCTATATATATATATGTGTGTGTCATATATACTATAGTTCTTGCAGGTATGTTATCGTCATCGGTTATATATATAATATAAAAAATCTCTTAAGTCTTCGACGCCGTTAAGCCTACTTTCAGTTTCTTTTCCTTCGGTGAAGATACCTTCTTCTCCCATCACTCGCTACAAGTACAAAGAATATATATATAAATACTTTCATATTGTTATTATATACATGAGTAGATGGAATATGCAACGAAATCATCCCTGATCAACGACAACCCGATCGCGTCCCGCACTTCAATCATATCTAAATTGTTAAAGTGTAGTTTTCTTTAGGTTGTTGGTTAAGGATGAAAGTACGAGATGGACGGTCGTCGTCTTTCGAGGGTCGGTGTTTCGTGCTGGTTCTTCCATCCACTTACGTTCAAAGGCAAAAAAAAGGTTCGCGCCGCGTTTTAGGAGAGGATGCCGTGGCCGGAGGAGGAGGGCGTCGGTGCGGCCACCTGCAGCTGCAACGAAGGCGTCGTCGATGGGCCCTGCTGCGACAGCTCCGCCTTCACGCGCCTCGCTATGTGCGATCTCGTGTGCTTCCGCAGATGATCCTTCCGATAGAATCCTTTGCCGCATTCGGTGCAGATGTGCCTCTTCTCACCTACGACCACCAAAAAAACAATAACATCATAATGATGTTGAGGAAAAAAATGGATGTAGCACAATACCTGAGTGTATGACGAAATGTAGGGTGAGTTGCTCTTTCCGTTTGAATGCCTTCAGGCATACGGTGCAGACGTACGGTCGCTCAGGGTTGTGGGACTGCTTGTGTCTGGTGAGATGATCCTTGCGTTTAAGACCTGCCCCGCAGATGTCGCACACGAATCTCCTCTCCAGAGTGTGTCCAACGAGATGCTGCTCCAGGAGTTCCTTCTCGGGATAGGCCATGTGACATTCGGGACAACAGTACAGCGTGGATCCGTCCAGGGCCGTCGTCAGCCGAATCTCTCCAGGCTAAAACAATGTTCAATTAGTTGAAACACAACAAACAAAGCTATGGATCAATTCAGGCAAAAACCATCTGCCCTTCAGAGATCGAGTACAACTATTACAACGTAAAGAATATTTCAAATATATGAAATAATTAGCGAATATCTTATAGTAATTCTTTAAAAAAAATCTTGGTTTTGGAAATAACTTTGCATATTTTGTTTTGTTTGTTGAAACGAGTGAGTAAAGCATTATCTGAAGAAATAATTAAAGTAGGATATGGATTGGTTAATATTATGGGATTAGTTTAAACTTTAAAGTTTGTTTACGTCGATTGTTATGAGTCGCGGTCGTATAAGTTACCTTCGGTCTGGGCTTCTTCTCCTTCTCGACCTTCTTCTTTTTCTTCTTTTTGCCGGAGGAGGTGAGGCCGTTCTGCAGCTGCGCCGAATTTATGGTGGTCAAAGAGTTGCCGGAACCGAGGAGGTTGCCGCCTCCTGGACCATTCAGAGAGTTCAGATTGGATATGGGCAAGGAAGCTGCGGCGCCGTGGAGATGATGATTGAGATTGGCCTCGCTGGGAATGGTGAGATGCTGCTGACCGGTCTCCTTCTTGATCGTCTCCGCCGAGTACTTGAGGAAATGATGAAGGCTGAGCGGCAACGTCGACGCCGGCAGATGCGAGAGGTAATCGGCGACGGTGGATCCTGGGGCGGCTAGGCTCTGCCAGCTGGCGGGCATCGGCGCCGGCGGTGGCAGCTGATTGGTTGGTGGAGGCGGTGGAGGAGCGGGCACCGCCACGGTCGGCTGATGTCTTCCGCCGCCTCGCTCGTGGTGATCCTGCTGCTCCTGCTTCTGCAACTCGCAAAGTCTATAACTTTCGTTGGAAAAAGCTAGACCTAAAGCAACCTTCTCGCCGCTCTGCTGCTGCTGCTGCTGCTTCTCCTGCTGGTGGCTGAGCATTGCAGCGCAGATCTCCTGCGCCAATTCCTGCTGCTCGTACCTCTTGTCCGACGGATGCCGCACGTTCTGCTGGTAGGTCTGGTTCAGGTAGCTCTGCTGGTATTTGCTGCTGTTGACGAGATGCTGCTGCTGCTGTTGTTGCTGTTGCTGCTGCTGCTGCGTGGGTGGATGATGCTGAGTGAAGGAGGGCACTCCGTTGGCGGTGTACCGGTTGCTGTTGGGTTCGGCGGTGGTGGTGTGCGTGGGTGGCGGTGGAGGAGGAGGCGGCGGCGGGGGCGGACACAGCCCATTGCCGCCGCCGTTCTCGTGGCCGAATTTAGCAGCGAACTGATGGATAGTCGGTATCGTCGTCGAGAAGTGTCCTCCGAACGGTGAAAAGTTCATTGTACAGCACTACAACTACTACTACTACACCTTAGTCCTCCGCTACGACATGAAATGGACGACACACATATTAGAGTAGAGTCGATGAAGGTAGTGGTGATGATAGTTAAGATGGTGATGGTGACGACGATGATGATGATGAATATCGAATGTGATCATCGGCGGCAAGCACGCACACTTTTTGCGGGGGGGTGTGAATTAATGCGTTATAATAATGAGCGTGATCGGGTGTGTGTGTGTTGTCTGCAGTGTGGTGATGATGTCCTTACCATCGTGCTCTCTCACTCTCTCTTTCTCTCACTCCTTTGCGTTATCCCCAGGTTCCACGAACCTCTTGCAAACTACTGCTCCCTCCAATTAATCCTCGCGCTCTCCGCAAGTTTTTTTTACACCTTCGCTCACTTTGATTAGTGTCGTCGATCACTGGACAAGCTCTCTGAACTGACGTTCGCCATTCCTGCTGCTGGCTTCTGCTGCGCCTGCTGCGATCAGTTGATCGCGCGCACAGGGCTAGAGGGGCGAAGGGACGACCCGACGACTACATGTATATATATATATGTGTGAGCGTGTGTGTGTATGTGCGCGTCTCCTCTCTTCTTCACAACACACTCACACGCAATATTACTTGAGCCCTTGGCGCGCGCATTCGCGAGGGTCGAACTGAAATCCTCTACTTGCGCTCCTTCTTTTCGTCCTTCTCCTCCACCTCCTGCACTCCTCTTCTTACCCCCACTGGTTTTGTTTGTTCTCCGCGTTACTTATTATTATTATTATTTGTGCGTCGCTTTCATCCCCTTTCCAGAAGGAAGGAAGGAAGGAAGGGTTGACTGGCGACCCCTCTCACCGCGCGCGCATCGCCCTGCGCGAAAGATACACCCCTAAATGCAAATTTCACACGCGCGATCCACGGTGCGGCAGATTGATCATCATCATCCTCCTCCTCGAGGATCAACCAAAAAAAACCAGAATACATCTATTCGTATTCGTAACAAAACAAGAACAAGAACGACCGGTAAAAATAACACGCGAAACCGGTTCACTTTTGTATGTACGAATTTACAAAGAAACGTAAATTTATTGCGCGAATATTCCGCTCGCCGCTGCTCCTTGATCCTTTGTTGTTTCGCCTCGTCGTTCGTTCCCCACCCCACATCTGCGCTCTGTTCCTTGTAACGAATTCGCATTGTTGAAGAATCGCACACAACGGACGAAACACGTGCAAAGGACGGACAATTAAAACCGCATTCGCGAATCGGGCGCACCAACGAATTTTTAAATTTATTTATTACTTTTTTCTGTTCATTCAACTAATTCAAACATGCAGCGCAACTAGATTTCAAATTCAGCAACATTCGGATTAGAAAACAAATACACAACCGACCGACCGACTCTTTTTGTACTGTTAATAATTAAATTATTTCCGATTCGATTACAACAACGATAATTATATCATTTTACGCACTCCGCATTCCACAGGATTCGTATTTTTAATGCAGGTTAGGCAACTTGCTTTTCACGCTGGATGTTGGTCGGTCGCGTCGTCGGTAGGTGTAAACAAAGTAGTAGTGGTGGTGGTGTTGAGGAGGAGGTTGATTGTTTGTTTGTTTGTTAAATTACAATTCTCGAGTTGCGAGTGGAACTGTAATTGTTTTCAGCGTTCTGTCGTTACTACTGTTGTTTCGTTTGTCGTTCGTGTTCGTAGTGCTGGCGGTCGTTACAGCGTAACGGCGTAACCTCAAATTAAGAAAGATCTTGTTGGTGGGTGCTGCAGCTTTCTAATAGTATTTTCGGTGTGGTCGGTGAATGGAAGAAGCATGCCTGTACAGCCGACGCCACCTCCAGATCAGACGCCAGAGGTGTCACAAGCAAAGTCGATAATAGTGATCCACCCTGGCTCTCTGAACTTGAGGATCGGGAGGGCCGCAGACGTGAACCCCCTGAGCGTGCTGCACGCGATTGCGAGACGCAGGCTTCCCGGGGGTTCGAAGCATGTCGATCCATTCCTGCCACCTCGGGTGGATTTAGGTGCTGGTCAGCAGGAGATCGAAGATGCGAGGCTGGGAGTGTCGCACACCCTGCAATCCTGTTTGCAGTCGGACGGTCGGAGACGCTACGCGACGCCTCCACAGCAGATAGCCGCATTCAATAGGCGCTCCACGCCGGAGACGATCGCAGCGTCCGGCGGGGAATGGGTCAAGATCGAAGGCGACATCGTCATAGGTAACGACATCCTGCGGCTCGATCCGCTGGACGAGTTCAACGTGCACTTTCCGTTCCGTCGTGGCGATTTCAACGTGCACTCCGGTCCCGGTGGCTCGATGACCGCCATCCTCACCGATCTCGAGGTCATCTGGACGTACATCCTGGAGACGCACTTCATGATACCCAGAAAGGAATTCAAGAACTTTAAGGTTGTGCTCATCATCCCGGACATTTACAATAGGACGTACCTCAGAGAGCTGAACACTCTGCTGCTGCTCAAGATGGGCTTCGGTGCCGCTTTCCTGCTGCAGGATCACGTCGCTGCCACTTTCGGTTCGGGACTGAGCTACGCTTGCGTCGTCGACGTGGGGGATCAGAAGACGTCCGTCTCGTGCGTCGAAGATGGCATATGTCACAGCAACACCAGAGTTCGGATGGATTATGGGGGTGCCGATATCACGCAGACTTTCTTCTGGCTTCTGCAGAAGTGCGCCTTTCCCTACAAGGACTGCTCCGAGAGCAACAAACTCGATACCATGTTGCTGAGGAAGCTGAAGGAGGAACTCTGTCACGTCAACTTGGATATTTGCGGCTCGCAGGAGAAGAGTTTCACTCTGCAGCAGCCCGGCATGGAGGTGCTGCAGTTCACCATTCAGGTGGGCGACGAGTGCATCGTCGCTCCTCTCAGCCTCTTCACGCCCGAACTCTTCGGCGTCACCGGTCCCAAACTCGTGCACACCCAGAAGAGATCTCTCGGAGATCCGGAAGATCCGCACGACGAGAATTACCTGCGGGAAATCAGAAGAAAAGGTTCGTTGTTCTCGTCCAACTAATATTTTCCTCTTCTCAATGATTCCCATATTTCAAGGTATAAAGGAGAGCCTCGAACCGACCACGTCCGACATGAAGGAGCCCTACTTCGAGGAGGCCAACGCTCAGGCTACCAACGACGATGACATCGTCGTGGACGCCATCGACACGGCACCGCAGCCGGCGGACAAAGAGTTCGTCATAAATCCTGGTCAGATCCTCGGGCTCGATCAGGCTGTGCTTCAGAGCATCGACCGCTGTCCGAACGAGGACCTCAAACGGAAGATGTACGGCTGCATCCTGATAGTCGGCGGTGGCATGAATTTTGCCGGAATCGGGACTTGGCTGCAGAACCGCATCAGTCTGCAGATACCGTACTTGTATAGGGCAGAGCAGCTGGACATAATTACGAATCCGCGCGACATGGACCCCTCGATGGTAGCTTGGAAGGGTGCCGCGATCCTCAGTTGCCTGGAGACGGCCCAGGAACTCTGGATCGGCTCCGGTGAGTGGGAGAAATGCGGGGTGCGTATCCTGCGAGAACGCGCCCCCTTCCAATGGTAATTGGATTTACAATTCAGAAGATGTAATCCTATTTTATAGGAACAACAATTATGATCTCATTTACATAATAAATAAATAAATAAAAATAGTAATAGTAAATAAAATAAATAACTAATAATCATAATAATAGGCGTGGAAAATACTATTGGATAGGCGTGGTTTTGCAGAGGATTGTGGGCGGACGGTGGTGTTGGAGAGGAGAGCGTCGAACTACAGCAAAACATAAATAAATAACATATCGTCGTCATTCTTTTATATAACAATTTTTATGTATCTTTATTGTAATGAAAATAACCTGGTCAACATTGTATAAAAAAGTTTCGCTACTTATTTCATATACATATGTATATATATATATATAAAATATACATACATATATACAAAAAACACTTGCCAGTAGTAGTAGTAAATATTATATATATATACACACATTATACATGTACACATTTTGTTAGCTTTTTTTTATATATATATATATATTTATATTGTATGTTTGTTTGTTTTTTTTTGCCGAATTTTTCCTTCAAGCAAAACCATTCATCGCGTGTAAATAATAATAATAATAAATAATACATCATCTGTCCCGGCGAAAATAATATATAGAGAAACACAACGTGAAAAATAGTTGAATATACACCACAACAAAATTAATAATCAACCAAATAAGGGAAAAAAAAATAATAATATAATGGGGAAAGTCGAAAAAAATATGATAAATTTTCTAGATGACATCAACCAAAAAATTGTAATAATAATAATAATATTTGAAGAAGAAGAAGAAAAAAATATATATATACAGTGTGTTCAAAGTTTAGTTTCGTTTCTAAATACGCGGATCCAATAGCCATCAAAAATTAATCTGTAACTGTTCTTTAGTTGTACAATAAACGCTAAATAAATTAAGTCCAATTCACCTGCGGAGAGAGAAATCATGATATTACCGTATAAACATATATATATATACTATAGTCATAATTACAGAGTAAAATCATTAATTAATACTTGCACATTGCGAAGGTGTCTGTTTGATCCTCAATATACGACGTTCGTTCATGCACTCTATTTTTTTTTCATTAATATAAAAATACGCAGCTGCGTCGACAACAACTGACGAAATCAATGGTAATTTGAATTTCGACAGATTAGCGCGTCTCCGAAAATGCAGGAATCACATGACGCACTCTTTTTTTCTAAATAAATATATATATATATATATGTATATACATAATTAATATATTAAAAAACAAAAAAAAAACAAAATCAAACAGTATTGATGAAGATATCCACAACATCTTTTCTTATCAAATTATTGCTTAATCGAGGAGGTGGAGGTTGTTTCCGGATGATGAAGGAATCGTCCTTTGCTTCTCTCGCAAAGTTTACAGCTACAAAGTATTTAGAATAAATGTACCGCACACCATATTTTGTTAATAATTAATTACAATTAATCTATCACTTTCTTTCCTCCATATATATATACAATTCATCCATCATAGTGTTACAAATATGTCTCTATCGGGACTTTATTCGTCTTTCTTTGCGCTTTTCTCTCTTTCGTCTTCATGGAAATTGCAAATGGATCGCGTCTTCTTGCGGAAGGAAATCCTGCGTTTTCCATTGTACATCGATTTGTTGCCAAACATCGTCACTACATCTGTTTATTTTTTAGTGTCTGTGTGTGTATAGGTATGAGAGTGAGTGGTTGGTTGTTTGATTGATTGCTGTACGTCGCTTCGATTCGGTTTTTTTTTTAAATCTTTTATGCAAATAATGGTGTATTTTTACAAATGGCAACGGGTCCCGATATACAATTGTAAATAATTAAAAAAAAAAACAAATTTCGACTCACGAAGAAACACTTCGTTCATATTCGTTTTGTTTTTGTTTTTTTTTTCTTGCTTTTCGTTACAAAAATCCAGCGGTCGACATATTTACAAAGTACTGCTGGAAACAGAAAAGAGAAAAACAAAAGAAAATAAAATCGCATTAAGACCGACGCCACATGCTTATATAAACAACAACAATAATAATAATAATAATAGAAAATATAATTAATCGCAATCACATAAAATAATTCTTCATCTATCTATCTTCTATATTCTCTCTCTTTCTTTATCTCTTTTCGTTCTATACGCATGTATATAAATATTTATAATAATATAAAAATAATAATAATAAATTGTTAATAAATATATTATATGAACTTTTTTTTGAAAGTACACTCTTTGCGGTGTGTTCTTTCTTTCTTTCATTTCATTACTCTCTTTAATCGCGCACCTTTTTCTTTTTGGCCTCGTGGTGGTGGTGGTGTTGTCGCTATATATATATATATATATATATATATGTTTTAAGTTAAGTCCACGTTCCCTAATCCATTGTATACTTTTCTTATATATTTCTTTTATTTTATAAACTACAAATTAAATCCTGTCCCCCGTCTCGTCAGCGTGAGCGCTCTGTCTGTATAGTGTTAAAAATCTCTTTTTGATGCCTAGCTTAATGTCTTTTCGGTGCGACCCCGGCGCGCCGCTTCGAACTCGTCAGTTCGGTATGATGGTGATGCCCTCCGAGGCTGTAGGTAAAACGACGGTACTTACTTGACCGTCTTCATCCGTATTCGTGGTGACCTGGATGTGGTGCTGCGGCACCTGTATTTGAACGGGAATCTGTATCGGCGTTTGAGATGTGGGCACCTATAAAAAAAAATGATATAAAAAATATTACATTTCAGAATCAGAATGTCACCGTCGATTATCGATTTATTGTTTATCAATTTGTAGTAGTAGTAGTAGTAGTAGTTATTGGTTTAGTTACCTGAATCGTGACTTGGGCTGTGCCGTCCTTGCCGATCACACTGCCTTGCGCCTGCTCTTTTACCCGGCGCGTCATGTGTGATCGCGTGTGTTTCCGCAAATGGTCTTTCCTGTAGAAACCTTTCCCGCACTCGCCGCAGATCTCCGTCTTCTCGCCGGAGTGTATCACGAAGTGGAGGTTCAGGTGCTCTTTGCGTTTGAAGCCTTTCGAACAGACGGAACAGACGAACGGTCGCTCCGGGTTGTGGCCGAGCTTGTGTCGCTCCAGGTGCTCCTTGCGCTTGAGACCGGCACCGCAGATACCACAGATGAAGCGCCTCTCGATCTTGTGTCCAACAAGATGCTGCTCTAGCAGCTCCTTCTCCGGATAGGCCATGTGACACTCGGGACAGCAGAACAGCATCGTCCCGTCGAGGGCTGTCGCAATGTGAACCTGTCCGGGCTTGGGCGTCTTTGGCTTTGGCGGTTTCTTTTTGTACTTTTTCTTTTTCTTCGTTTTTTCGGGATCGTCCACAACCTATTTAGTCAGAATCAAAGCACATTTATAGAAAACGTTTATATAATGTGTTAGAGCGAGCTCAGTACCTCTTCCGTTTCCATGCTTGGTTCGGCGTAGTCGTTCATTATCAGATGCTGCTCATGATCCTGCTCGACGCCCTCTTGGCTTTCCACGACACCCTCCATGACGCCATCCTCATTGATTATGGTCTCGCGCTTGACGTCCGTATTGAACTTGAGGAATTGCTGCAAACTCAGCGGCAACGTGTGGGTTTGAATGCGCTGCAGGTATTCTTGCACGGTGGCTGTCTGTATATAGTCGGACTTGTCGCCGGGGTTCTCCGTCTTGATAATTGACACAGGGGAGATGGTGATATCTTTGGATTCCTTGTCGCCGGCGGCGTTATTCGTCGGTGCAGCTTCCAACTGAGCTTGCTGATGCTGGTGTTGCTGTTGTTGCTGCAACATCTGGATGTCTTGAGGTTGGAGCGCTGCAACCACAGTCATACCTTCAGGTATCCCATTTTGACCGTCGACCTATAATACAGTGGCAGGAAATGAAAATCATACTTGTTCGCAAATTGCGCCCTCATCTACTTACGATTTGTATACCCTCCTGGTTTGAGTTGTAGGCGACGGTAAGTACTGTGGCACCTTGGCCGAACGTCTGAATCGGTATTTGCGAGATCTGGTATTTGGGCGAGTTGGCCGAGGTGGTCGGCGTCATCGTGGTGATCGGCGCCGAATTGACCACCTGAATCTGTACAGTCTGCTGGGGATCGCCGGGCTTCGCGCCTGGCATTGTGATGGGCAGCGTGATCAGGGTCTGCGTCTGGCCCTGGTTGGGTGTGGGCGAAGCGGCCTGCGCGAATGCCGACGTCTCCAACGGTCGGATGTAGTGGACACCGTTCTCGCCTCCCTGCAGGACCCCAACGACTTGCCCGTTGGCGGCCGTCACGTTCTGCGCGATCTTCCCCGTCGTGAACTGCGTCGTCACCGGCATCGCTGCCGATAACGGCACTCCCACACCGAAAGGTGAAAAATTCATCTCGACCTTCTTTCTATCCACTAATCTTCAAAAGTAACGACTATCACTGTAACAACAACAAACAATACGGTTAAACTAAAACACAATTAAATATCACAATATACACACATGCACTGTCAATAACGTTATTATTGTTTATGTTCGAAAGGTTCGTGGAGAAGGGGCGCGCTCGTGGTACTGTTATTTAGTTATCCTTTTTGGGGGGTAACCCCCGATTTTGAATATCTAGAGGGGAATGCAGAAAATCAACTGCAAGATGTTGTAGTAGTAGTAGTAGTAGGTGGTAGCGAGCGAGTAGTAGTAGTGGTGTCGAAAGCGAATATAACGGAGTGGTATTAAAGTCGGTAGTGTGGCAAGTAAAGAGTAGCAATGGTCATTTGGAAAGTGGGGTCGCCACGTGACCAAATGAAGTCTCGTCTCTCTCGCTCTAACCGCCCGACCACCTGTTGGTTGTCAGACAAAGACGAAAAGGTGAAATCTAGCCGAGGTCCTCTGCAGAGAAATCCACTCGTCAGCGGACCCACTTACCTACTTTTAACCTACTTTCACCTGCAAACCAACCACCACCACCAACCAACGGGCCAATCAGCACTCACATCGAACGTACTATTCCATTTATTACGAATAGCGTTTTGATCTCACGCCGGAAAGAACGAGGAAACTAACAAGGAGAGAAGAAGAAAATGAGAGACAGAGCAAAAAAAAAGAGGCGAAACCGAAAGTTCCGACATTCAAAAGTTACTGCAATTAACAAAACAGAGAAACAAACAACCGGGAAATAAACATAGCAGAGGCCATGAATAATTCTCCAAAAAATACAACGGATAAATTCGAAGTCGGGTCACGAGTAAAAGACAATAACTGTAATTGAAATTAACGTAGAAATAAAAAAAATGCAAGTACAGTTCGATGATGACAATTCCAATGTTCTTCCAAGCATTCTAAGCGTGTATTCACCGTAAAATCGAATCTAATTTGTGCCAAACGTTGGATAGGTCTTGGTTCCGTTTCAGCATCCCGTTCGCGCAACGGATGGGAAGGGATGTTGCTGGGTGGAGACTAAACCAAAGCAATATCCTTCCTCCTCCTACACACACACACTCACAAACACATACTCCTCCTCTTGTTAAAGCATCCTTTAAACATCCACCCCTTTTTGGAGCAGTTTAATGCAGTACAATGGAAATGGTGGCAGTGTAGCTACTAATAGTATGCGAACATTCGAAACATATATCACTGATGTTCATAAAACAAAGAGAAAATCGAGTCGGCGAAATTAAAATGCGATTTCATATTTCCGCGCGCGATTATAGTCACCGGCGATGCGGGTACTTACTACCGGTTATTTATATGTCATTTTCTGTTTCTTTTATTCTCATTTCATACGGTTCATACTTTTTTCAGTTCGTCCTTTTTCAATTCACCGATGAGTGCGGAGTGGTCGAGGTGAATAAACTTGAGGAAGGAAGAGAAACGCACAAGGCTGGCAGGCAGATGGCCACCACCGACCTTCCTTTCCAGGTATATAAGCCAGGTATACGAGCAGGCCTGAAACATGTTGTCCCATCGTGAGGCGGCGACTGCTCGTCCCGCAATAAACACACACACAATTCTCTCTCCCCCATAAACCGAATTTTCAGTATAATCCCCACTAAAAACTACGAAGAAATCCCTACCTACCTGGAAGGGGATTTCAGTTCGAGCATCATTTTAAAAGCACAAACTAATATAATGTTCGCATTTCCTGATCTGCAAAAAGAAGCACACACCCTATATAGTATACTAGATATGATGATGGTACGTACGTGTACTACAGGGTGAATGACTCATTTTGGACGCAAACAAAAGAATAATGACTTGTGGCGGCACCGACGACCAACAAAATCCGTGACTAATTACCGAACTCAAATTCCATTTTAATTACCGTCGACGAGAAAACAATAATACAATAAATCCATATGAAAACAACAACAATGTTTAGAATCGTTATTCACAATAGATTGCGATATTTTGAAAGTTTTTTTTTTACAGATTGTTGCGAATTGCGATGAAATAACAATAGCATATAATGTATATTAATGTCAATTTTAAAAAGTTTCCAAAAAATGCTAACGACGTCCAATATCACAGTTAATGAAGCTTCTTCGAATTTTAAGTAAACATACAAATTTCGGTCACGACACCAAAACAAAATATTTTGACCGCAAGTTCCTGCAATTGCTCCGCTTCTAAAAACAACATTTTTGTTGACTTCCTAATTACAATTGTGAATAAAAGAAAGAAAAGAGAATGTATACCAAATCCAAGGCTTCTATGTTTTATAAAGTGTTTACAGCAACAACGAAACTTAAATTATTGACAAAATGAAAACGAAAGCAAGGATAGTTCATTTCAAAATGCAATTACCAAATGAAAACAATCGATCTGAGCAATAAAGATAAGAAACGAATTCGAATCGATAATTTTAAATTAAAACTAGAGCCTCTTTACTCATCCTACTTTCCATTGTTGAATTTCAGGTAACCCAAGCAGATAAGAAAAGTTTTTGTGCATCTAGAGATTAAAAATATTTCCGTTAAACGCGTGTTTAAACAGTTGCAGCCATAATCGACTGATAACAAACATAATGGGGGAGCCTTGATATTCTTTGTATGCAATACACACAAAATGCAGTCTCGAAGAAAATACGAGAATGCAACGAACTTTGAACTATCGTCAGTGACAAGTAACAGCAAAAGTATTATATTGAAACGATTGTAGAGAAGGGAATTTTGGAGAACGACCTTTGAACTCTGCGAAGAGAAAACGGCTATACGAATATTTATATTTCGCAGAGTAATGGTAAATCGCAATAAATGATGATGGCAACAGCAGCGGTAATAACGAAATCGAATAATAAAGTGTATCGATTGCACACGGCCTACGTGCGACGCGACGCCCAAGCGGAGTTACGTAATGGCGGAAAGATGTCCGTCGTTTTGGTTTTTACGTTGCTGCCGTTGGCTCAAGGTCCACCACATCCACACGGCCGAGCCGTTGCAAACGTAAAGAAAGCGAGGCAGAAAAGTACAGTTAGGCTATTCCATATGGCAGCTGGGGTTGTTAAAAAAACGAGAAGAGGAGCAGTTACACGACCTTGCGGACGGCGGAAAAGGCACAATGAATATTTAGGAAATGCAAAATACAGCCGAGAGAAAGAGGAGGAATGGCGAGATGAGGAATGAAATGATGTTGATGATGATGATGCGTTATGAGCGGGGCACGGAGAATGCGATGCATGGGTGTGTCTATGCGTGCGTGCACGTATGAATGTATGTGTATGTGTGTGTGTGTTTTAAGGCGTATCTCTACGGCGATGACGTCGTGTTTTGGGGACGTGGTGGAAGGTGGAAGTGGTGGTGGTGGTTTTGGGAAGATTGTGGGGATGAATATATATATGTATGTCCTACCAGAATACACACGCTGCGAGCACCCCTTCCACTGATTTCCTAGAGCGACGAAGCTCCCTACCCCAAAACACCCGCGACCCGCGAAAAGATACCCGAGAAATCGTCAGGATCGCAGAGAGTGCGAGAGACCGACGCCGAGACGCGGATACCGATCCTCCGTTCTTGCTCTCCGCCACCAACGCCAACGCAATCGCCGCCGTCAGCGTCACCACGGATCACGACGAAATCTTCGGACCACGCGCCCCGGGACCCAGTGTTACAACCAGTTCGTTAATACAACAATGTACAGTTTTTACTTCAACGGCAGTGTTTGTTTCTATGCGAGATTGTGAGAAAACCCAACCAAAAAAAGAAAAGATATGTATGTACAGTGAAAAAAAGAAGCCCGAACCGCGTCTCCTTGTGCCAACAACAAAACTGTGGACTTTCCCACAGCAGGCAACATACAGCCACACACATGCACAGAGGCTCCGCTACGTGTGCTCTCTCTCTCCGTCCTTTTCCCGTCCCGTTGCCGGCTGCGTGAGCGAGTGAGCCGTATGTGTGCCACTTCAGCACACATCTATGCATGCCATTCAAATACATACAGCTATAATTTACATGCACAAACACACACGTACACATACAAGCGCTCATACACACATTCTGAAAGAGACACGCATACATTTATACACACACACACATATATAAATATACATATATATGTATAGGATAGATAGGTTTGGAGAGACCAACCGAGTGAGTGACAGTGGATGGAATCGGAGGGGGTTGCAAAACTTACGGTGAGCGGCGGCGGCGGCAGCAGCAGCAGCAGCGGTTTTTCCGGGGGGGCCTGCTCTGGACTGGAGGAGGATCATCAGCAGTCGTCGGGGATAGGTGCCGATAAGTGTACACGACGCGACAGTGTGTAAACACGAAAACAACAACGACGTCGTCTTTCCTCTCCTGTATTTCTTCTATACACGACGTAGCACTCGTACGCAACCAGTAAATGCCCAGATCCGCTTGCCAAGGTCCTCTCTGCCATCCAGATGGCGGCACCGTCGTTCCGATGCCCGCCAAATTCGAAACTCTACGGAAAACAACAACACACGATCAGTCAGAAATCCACCTGTGGTACGCTCTCTCTCTGCGTACATGAACATACATACACACAAACACACCTGCAATCCAATCATATCACATGACTCAATCTCATACCACACCGTCACTTTCAAATGTAAACGAACATTCATCAAATTCGAGAAAAACAACACCCAACAATCATTTCAATTTCAAATCCTCTCAACAAACAAAAACAAACTTAAACAATACAGATTTCACGTGGGGTCATAAAATATTGCCTAAATTTATTCACGTCAGCTGGATGCTGGAATTTATTTTTTCTCTTTAATCAAAATACCTCCTCCCCCTCCCCCAAATAAGGGGTCAAGAACCTTCATACTCCCACCACCCACTATCAAAAAACAGCTGTTTATACACTTGAATGGACAAAACTCACTGACTGACCTTCTCAATAATTATATTATACCTAAGAAGGTTAAAAAAATTAATCCAACTTCAAACATATTTCACAACTCGAAATTCTATAATATTCGTCAATAATTGAAATAACACATTTTGTTCCATTATTGTCAAATACTCTCGCGGTTGAAGCAATTCATTTTTGCATAAATTCATTACAAATTTCTTAATCACAATTTTCCAATTTATTTTTGAATTTTTCTATCTTTATGTTTTCTCTAGCATTTTACTTTTTAGTCATGTATCATATAGTCCATGAAAGACTTATATTTTTTTACCGTTCTCTAATTTGTAAGTTTTCCAGGTTTTTTTTCTTTCTATTTCTATTCCAGATTTTATTACATACAACTAATGCATTTTTTAGTGCTAATAATACAGACAATATAATTAAAGTGTGCCGTCTTTTCATTGTTTTACCCTCTACAAATATTGACGTTTAATCCAAGTTTGCTATCATTCAAATCTCATTAATTTCGTAAGTGTCAACAACAATAAAATTCAAATTTAATTTTGGTTACACGATCTGAAGTTTGTATAAACAGAAAGTAGACTTTCGTAAATAAACTTGTGATATTTGGAATTCTCTCCAAGTAGGCACAGACAGCATTACGTTATTGCCCATGGTAACGCAGACCGGAAATCAATCAACAAGATGAGATTTCTGTCGAAATTTGTTTTAACCTAATTTAGGTAAATTGCGAACTTCATAGATTCAGTTTTGCGATTTATTTTGCACTTACTGTTCATTCCATGATTACGATTCGCACGTGTGGAAAACGGGATCGATTTTCACCGGACACTTTCTGCAGCCGGATCGTCGGAAAATTCTCGTTTTTTCTCGATGATGCGTGCGTACGCGTCGTTTCAAAACTTTTGAAACAATCGAACGCAATTGCGTTGACCAACGTAGCAACAATAAATTAACCAGGAAAATCTATTGAATTCATTGGATGATCCAATAGGATCAGGTGAATTTGAAATAATTGCAACCAACGTGGTGGCAATAAATTGCCCCAATTGCAATTTCGATTTGCGTTCATGTGCGGAAATTGCTTTCAAATGATATTCACATTAATGTACAGAATTTAGAATCCGCTTGGAATCTGTTTATTACAAAATAAATAAAGGTTTTTGCTTAACTAATTTTTAATAATTATATACCAGAAGGAAGCGAAATGTGACCAGATAACAAAATCTAATCGTTCAAGAAATACATATTATCGTACCGAGTTCTAATCTTCACATATAAACGAGTTTAAGATGTCGGAGTGTGTGTGTTAAGTAATTAAAATTTAATTAATAATAAGTTAAAAAGAAATCGATAATTGTAAACCTTATTAGCTAATTCACTAATGCGTTCAGTAAATGTAATGTCTGTCTTGAATGCCTTAAAATAAAACTTAGTTGGCTACTGTCACAGTATATGCATGCTTTGATATCATCGAGAGAAGACCAAAAACAAAAGGTGACACACTACATCCGTAATATACATTTATATTACTCAAATCATTCATACAAATTCATACACTAATGAGCCGCAGCAGCTTTGATAAGTAGATATGCTGTTGGTCAGAAGAAAAAAGAAAGAGTATTCCCTCATCCGATTGGGAATGAAAATAAAATTGTCAGTCTTGATCGCGCACCACACTCATGCTTTGTTCAATTGAACTATATAAAAAATAATATTTAAGAAAAAGTAAAAACTCGATGACCTAATAAATAAATATTTGCAAATGTAAAAATAGTAAAGGGTAAGTGGGTTTTTGTTGTTGCTGTTGTTGGGGAACAATTGATTAATGTTCGGCAAGTGGAGGAGAATGAGGTTTCAGTTGTTGCTCGTCCTCTGCGTTCTGGCAAGGTACATCTCGTACAGCTGCTTGTTTATGTCGAGGTAGAAGGGATTCGGTCCCCGTTCGGGTGTGTTGCTCCAATCTGAACTCTGCAGCGAGTCGGGTGGAGATTCTGGCAGATTCTGCTGTGGTTGCTGCAGCTGCTGCTGCTGAAAGTACGGCGGTCCGGGGCCCCATTCACCTGGCGGCATGCTGCTGCTGCTCGAACTCCCGTCCAGCATCATCCCATTGTTTATGTGCAGATTGTTGATCCTCTTGGACAGAGGCATGAATTCCGTCTCATCCTCGTGCGAGTTTCTTCCTCTTTTCCTGCAATACACGTACACGTTCACACGTACATTCGATACAACAAACAGCATCATCATCATCATCGTCTTTACTTACCTGTTCTGAGTCATGATGATTGATCAGCACTGCGACATCCTCAGCGCACAGCTCTAATAAAACCCTGATCCTCTCACCACTGACAGTTTATTCCCTTTCTTTTTTTTTTATTATTATTATCATATGTGCTGTGCTCACAGCTGACAGGAAGTCCATTGACACTCGGAGCAGTGCTGCCACGCGCACGGACACTGGGTTACACATCGATCGGCTGCTACTCTCCAATACGAACCTCCAAACACTTTCAATAAACTTTAGCGCATCACAAATACTCGTTTCCTCATCGAATCGTTAATCGGCGAAGCTGAAAACTGAATTCCAATTGGCACGAAAAAATGAAAACATTTGGTTTCTCGAATTTGGCATTACTAGTTTGCGGTTTGAATAGCAACCAATCGCGCGACACGTTCGTTTCGCAAAAAAAAAAGAAGATAATTGTTTGTCGTTTAAACAAAGAGACGCGGTCGGTGTTCAATAGTTCTTCACCGATTTTCCAATCCGCACACAAAATGTAAGTGATTATAACTGTTATTAATTCGTTCATCCCCTGTTGCAATCTAATTAGTCAATTTGCAACATATTTTATAAAGATCTCAGTCCTATATGAGTCACCTCTATTAATTTTTTTTTTGCTCGAGATTTTGAATTGTTTATTGTCGCTAACAACAGCCTACTGCCATTTTCTTCTTATTTTTATAACAAGTTTCTTTCTACAAATTAACGTTATATATTGTAAATTGAATATTTTTACAGATTTCAAATGAAAGTTATCTCAATTGGAGTAGATACGCGAGGACTTAGTATACTTGGAGAGCAGCATCGGTAAGTAAACTGAAATTATTCAATTAGAAATTTTAAAATTATTGGACTCCTATTGGACTAGTTTGTATATGATTTGAAACTAATTTTACGGTTAATTTAGTTCAAATTTGTTGATTGATTTAGTTTGTAGTTAGTGTTGAATGTAGGTGTAGATTCGTGGGATAAATGAAATGAATCGGTGTGGTTAAAGTAATGCTGGCTTTGTGGTTGCCTAATGCGATTCGTTGTATGCCAACTGGCGGTGGACAGTAAAGAGATTCGTTTGAATGCACGGCCGTCCAATTGCCGTCAATTAAGTTGAATCTGTCGGATTGAATTAGATCGAGTTTAATTCAAGTGTGCGGATAATAATTCAATTGTTGCGATGGGATTGTCGCTGGGAGGCGGGAGATGGCGCGCCGCCCGGATGAGCATGTCCACTCTCTCTCACTCCTCTCTTCTATGTTCGTTTCCTTCGCTCCTGGTCCGGCTCCATTTTCAATTTTCAGTGCAATTCGAGCGGTGTCAGTGGGTGGGTGTCGTGCGCGAAGCCCCGTGACATATACATACACACACACACATCACATCACATCACAATCATATATCTATGTATGCATGTTTGTACGTACGTGAATAGAGTGCGAAAGGGAAGGAACGTTGATTCGGACAGAGACAGACGGGGTTTATGTTTTCGTTTTTCACGCCGGGTTCTATTCCGTTTCCGCTGCGTGGAGTCGCCGCAACCCCCAGGAGTCGCACTCGCAGAAACCCAGGTAAAGAACAAACAACACCTTACTTGCTTGCACTTGACGCTTTTCGGATACATTTTTTCTCTCTCTTAATTCGCGATTCGTTTTTGCGCCAACCCCAACATGTATTTCCTTTCGGGGAGCCCCCTGTGCGTTCAAGTTTTATTGATTTTTCGCCGTGTGCGTCTGGCTTTGGTCGTTGGGAGGAGTGTAAGAGCACAGACCAAGAGGACAAGGACGACGACGACGATGTTGTTGATGTTTATATAAAGAATAAAGAGAGTTCCATTTCGAGAAACCGGGTGAAGGGACGGCAGGCGGGTGTGTGAGCTCTTTCAGATTTTATTTCCAGTTCACGTTGGGGGAGTCCGGGCATCTCAATCCAGGGTTGCTGTTTCTCTATATTTTTTTGTTGTTGTTTGTTTCGCACACGGCCGACGCGTGCTTCTGTAAATTTAGCCGCGAATCGTGGATAGACAACGACTTTTACTTTCATCTCGCTTGTTTTGTTACGATTTGTTAGTCGCGGGGTTGCGTTTCGTTAATTAGACAATTGGCATTGCCTTGCGTCCGGTAACCGCTAGTTTCAATACGATACGTTTCCTGTATCTAATGCGTATTTCTTTTTTTTATTTATTTATTTACGTTCGCCGCATGCATCATACATGAAGATACCTGCGATGAATTAAACAAAAACCAATGCTATTTTTTTTTGTTGCAATTGCAAAAACATTATTTTTTATCGTATGAAAATGGCGTCATCTATGTCACTTGATTTATTATTGGATCATCATCATTCGTGTGTACTTTAAGTTTAAATTATTTATAAGCGCACCGACATTATGTTAATTTAAACAATGATAATTACAGAGCGTGACGATGACGATTTTAAAAAAAAACTGTAAACAATGACTAAGGCGATTGTCGTTCACACTTTTAAGGGCAAAAACTACCTTTGACGTTCTTTAAATGTCATCGCACACATGTGTCAATATCAATTTGACGTTTACGTATGATTTGCAGCAGCAATGCGATTTCGCATCCTCTCTTGCGCTCCAATTCGCGTCGCTTCGCGAAAGAGATTTGCTGCTTCTTAATTAGAATACGGCATTTCTTTTCGTCTTCGATTCGTTCCTCTCGTTCTGCATTAATTAATCGTCCGCAAAGTGACCTACTGCCGCCTACTCTGTTTCTGGTTGTCATTAAAGCGGAAAGATCTCGTTGCATCGATTGCAGCAGAACACGCAAACTCTGCTGCTGCTGTTGCTTGATACATATCGGGTATCGCCAATACGAGAACCCCAAAAATGGGACTAAACCTTTCGTTGTCCGTTTCTTCATTCCCCATTCATCATTCGCACCTCTTTTCCCTTTTTACGAATTGCCCACTTCCGAGTGAATTCCATCAATGCACATGTTTTTTTAACGCGAATACCGAGAACAGATTCTCTTCGCGTAAGACATGAAACTGTGGTGTTGTGATTCATGCGAACAGAGAAATGTGCAAGAATTTCCCCATGTCTGCAATCGTTGTGTATATATTTTTTTTTCCCTCTTTATCATTTATCAACAGCATGCACGCAACAAAAGGAGGAATGAAAATGCGTTTCTTTTCGTGTTTGTATTTATCGAATTTGTCGGTCGACGAACTCGAAAAGGTGTGTGCAACAAGCAGTCCAGAATTTGTACCATTTAAGTTTCGCTTTTGAAAATAGATTTCATTCTGGTCCTGATCATCCAAGTACCTTCTATCTTCGTCCTGTCTGGCAATAACCGATCAAGTGGCGTTACTTAATTTAGTTAGGCAACAGATGTTTGTTACGAAGTCATAACAAATATTAGAATCCTTGCTAATGGATACACATTTAATTTGGCGCCGGTAGTTTAAGTCATCGCGCTTTGTCGCTGGAATTCACGGTTATTGTGATTTAATTAATATAGAGGCGCGCAACATCTGAGTTTGCAGCAGTTAATTAAATTTTGCGCAATTGTTTTGTGGAACGTATTTCGTGAGTGGATTTCGGTGTGCGTTACGAAATAGACGAATAAATGTTAATGGATTATTCAGAGATTTTTGTTTACGATTTTCTAAAGGAGTTTTCTGTTTGTCGCCGCTCTCTGCGCTCGAAATGTATTTCAATACAAGCTCTGTTTTTGTAATTAGAAGTTTTCCTTTTAAAGCACTTAACTGTGTCATCGCTCGCTGCTAATTAAACTAATAATCGTTTGTGATTTTAGGATCTGTGATTTATTATCGTTTTCTTCGCATTGTTGATGATATGATGGAAAAATAAGAATGTGCGCACGATAATAAAAGAGCCGGTCTTGCTAGCAACGAAAGCAAATATTTACCCGTTTCGATTTTGGTTATCTTGTCTCGGGGAGGTTTCGTTTACATTCTTCTTGCGCGATACGCGCATTTTCTTTTTCCTTTTTTCAATTCCATTTATCGAACCCCGGCAGATTGTCGTCCAGCCTTGGCGCTTCCTGATAACTCGCGTTGCGTTTCCGGTTTGGACGGACAATGCAAAGTATTAAAAAAACAACATCAACAAAACGGAACGCTAAGATGAAAAGAAAAATTGAGGCTGCGTTTGTTTTTATTTATCCGGCGACGTCTTTTGTTCGTTTGCTCGCGCGATAACAATGGGGGGGTTGCTAACCCTTGACACTTTGAGCCGCGCAACCTTGGGTGCCGGAGCTTAAAAGAGAAAAGAACGAGCAGAAGTTGAAAAAGACGTCGCAGAGGGATCGGAACTTTAATCCGTGCAATTCGTCGGAATTGGATTAGATGACTTCAAGTGGCTCTGATCGCTTCAGTTAAATTGGCGAACGCTCGTAGAGTGATGTGTGTGTGAGAGCGAGTGAGAAAGATTAAAATGAAATTATGAAGCAAAAAAATAAAAAGAAACGCTCCCCTTTTGTGCTCCATAAGCAAGTGGCTATGATTCTAATAAGAGGTAATGGCCAATGTAACTGCAGATTTCCTTTTTAAAAGTAATCGCTACTCTTGATGGCCGTCTGTCTACTTACCTAAAGGACAATCATTTAATGGTATTTTACTAACATTTGTTAGTCCTTCGTCCGTTTGTTATTTTGTCATTCGTAAGTTGTAAAAAAAGCAATTTGGTTTTTAATTAACGTTGTTCTGAACGTACTGATTCATTAAATCTAGCATGAAAAATGCTAATTGCAACCGCAATGAAAATCACGGATATTTCTGTTATAAACGACGTGAATCAAACTATTTTTTTTTTGTTCTTCGTGTTCGTTAAGAGCCTTAAGTGACAAGTAAAAGAGACAAGTAAGATGTGTAAAAGTATGGATTATGATCGTACTTTTGTGGAATTCTCATTTGCAGCATTGTCGGTGGGGCTGTGTGACACAGTTCCGGAGACAATGCGTATTGGATGGATGTAGATGAGGGAGAGAGAGAGATAATCTTCCGTTTGGCATTAATGAGTCTCTCCTACCGTATTGTTGCAAGAGGCTGCAAGCGAGCAGCTTGGTTTCTTGCCACCGCAATGATCGTGCATCGTACCATACTCTTTCTCTCATACATGTGTATCGTATCGGATTCGGGCGTTACGTAAGAATCGTGTGTTACGTAACCGTCACCCTCCCCGGGGCCGGTTGCGTAACGATAACGACGGCTGTTCTGTCCCCCCCTTTGTATATCACGTATGTATGCATGAAAGATACGAAGAGTTTCGCATCTGCGAGCCCTCTGATTTTCTCTTTTGTTTGCCTCCTAATTGTTTCTATTGATGTGCCTGTTTCCACGGCGACGATGAAAAATGAGAGTTTAAGATAATTCCCGCCCGTCCGCGTTAAACGGCGTTAATTACCGGTGCCGACTATAATTGGGGGTGTTCTTCTTCTTCTTTTTCGGCTGGAAACGGAAACGCCAGCATTGTTTCCAGACAGGGTGGTCGGTTTCTTTTAGCGCCCCGAGATCGAAATGCAAAGCCATGCGGGCTCCGCTACTAATTGAAGCCACGTGTTTCTTTTCTTCTTCTCTCACTTCTCTTTTACAGCTTGCACTCTGTGGTCCTCTCCGGTCTAGGCCGTATCATCATGCACATGGGTACTCATTTTTGTTGTTTCCTATCTCTTTCTCTCTCTCATCTTCGCTCCGTCATCTCTCAAGTTCGGAGCCGGTGGTGGCGGCGGCGGCGGTGGTAGAAATCGATGGCGGAGGCAGCGACCACGCCCTTAAAAGCCCCCAGAGAATGAGCGAGCGAGTGCCAAACCCACCCCACACACACACACCCCGGCTACAATTATCAAGCACGCGAACTCTTCCAGCATACATTTTTTCCCTTCCCTTCGCCAGATCACATCATGCGTTCTCGGAGATCAACGAAAAATACAAATTTCACGCTTTCAGCAATATATATATATTATACATTTTCCATCATCAGAAGACTCGATGTAAATCCGAAGGGATTAAACGTAATTGATTGGCCGTTCCCATGGTTACAGCGCCACTTTCGGCAATTGCGTTAATCATCGTCATCCCCGGGGATTTGCATGATTCGTTTCGACAATGCGCTTTGACCGCCGCCACCGCCGTTTAACTCCTAACTGCGATTATAAATAATAGATGACGAAAACAACAGCACAATTCTAGCCAAATTTTTCTTCCTTTGATCTTTTATTTCCGAAGTGCCCGAAGAATGAATGTTACAAAAAAAGGGTGCACGCAATTATAAATTACATTTACATTCTGCGTGCAAAATATACATTTCAAATTCCCCGAAGCGATATTAACAATTAAAAAAAAAACCGAAAGGTGGGTCTACTCTCCGAGACTACGCCCTCTGCTTAATCGAATCGGTCGGTCGGTGTTTTCCGATGATTTTGTAATTGTCTTTGCTTGTGACATCGAATTTTGTGAGCGGGTCACGTATTAATAGTTGATCATCTTTCGAACGAACGGAATAATTGGGAAAATGAATATTTCAAGTGATTGAAAACAGATCGCACAAGAAGTTCGAAATGGGCGTGGTCCAGTGCGTGGGCGTGTCCCGCTCGCAACTGGGTTAAGAAAATTGCTTTACCATTATTTGCTACTGTTCTAATTGATATGTTAATTTTCATTTGTTCTGTTTATTTTTTCTTTGTCTCTTGTAGAATTGTTATCCGGATGGCTTGAGAGGAGAGAGAGAAGGCAGGTCAAAGGGCACCGGCATGGGCGCCACCTCAGGGGATGACGTCTACAGCATCCCGACGTTGGCGAGGCTGCTGCACGCTCTGCCCCATCTCAATGTCACCTTCCACAGGGTCAACTCGTCCTTCGATCCTAACTCTCCGATCTACTACGAGGTATTATTACTCGTTACAATGAGCTAATGATTAATTGTTTATTTAAATTCAATTTTAATTATTATTACTCTATAACTTATTTGCTTATTAGCAATTGGAAATTTTATCATTATCATTGAATTGCTATCGGACGTACTTGAAGCTATTACTAATTCCATAACATTCAATAGACCATAATATTTTTATTCAGATAATAAACTTGGAATAGAAATGATATGCGCATTCGTGGATATCTTCATATATACATATCATGTTCGAAGTATCAATGTTGACTAATTGTGTAAATATTTTTCAGAGTTTAGGAATTCTCGCGTCGGTGCCGGCTGCTTGGTTGATCCTCACGCTGCTGGTGCTCCTCATCTACCTGCTGACGCGATGCTGCGATCGAAAGCCGCGACCGTCGCGATCCATCTCCGCGATGAAGGTGACGCTGGCCGTCGTCTCGGTGCTCTGCTGCGCAGCGGTCGGGCTCGGCCTTTACGGGAACGACGACCTGCACAACGGGTTCACCCAGCTGCTGCAGGAGGGTAAGCAGGTGGACCAGCAGGTGCATCGGATCAAGAATCAAACTGAGAACATCGAGCGGCAACTTCGGCAGCAGGCGAACCTGCAGTTGACGCAGCTGCGCGACATCTTCGACGAACCGATCTCGAATTCGACGGCCCTCAAGCAATGTCTGCAGTGGCTGACCTGGGCTGCGAACAACAACACGGCGGCGGCTGCAGCAGCGGCGGACATCCGACAACCGCTCAACCACATCGTGTTTTCAGAGAGCATCGACAGAGGTGAATGGTTCGAGCAGATCCGGTGGCCGTCCACGATGGCCGTGCTCAGCGTTCTGCTGATACTGTGCGTGGTGCTGCTGGTCGGCGTGGCCAGGCACAGTCGGTGCGCGCTCATCGCATTCTCAGTTTGCGGCCTGCTGGCCGTCATAGCCTCGTACGTGATGGCGAGCATATATATAGCGTCGACCGTTGCCTTGGGCGATCTCTGCATGGCACCTGACAAATTCATAGAGGACCAGGCTAAGAACGAGCTGACCAAAGAGATTTTACGTTATTACACGAGTTGCGAGAGGGCCCGCGCCAACCCGTTCACGCAGCGACTGCGCGAAGCCAAGGGCGCCATCGAGAACACCAGGTCTTCTTTGACCGCTCTCAGGAAACCAGCTCTCGATCTCTTCCCCAGGAAGGCGCTCGAGCCCAAGTTCAGTTCGCTCTTGAACCAGGTCAACGAGGGCGATCTGCTGATCACCGCGTTGACGGCCAGTGTCGACTGCAGAGCTCTGCACACCCATTACCTTCGCGGCGCTCGCGCCCTCTGCAACACCGGTCTTCTAGGTCTGTTCCTCATGCTGGCTTCGGCCATTCTCGCCGGCCTCCTGCTCACCGTCCTCGTTTGGGTTGACTCGCATACTTGGATTTACATTAGGAAGAAGTAAAGGCTAATCGAATAGCTAATTTAAAACCCTTCTCTTGACCAATTATCTTGTCAATTTGCAGGAAGGACTATCATCAAGTGAACGAGACCGATCCGTATCTGCCGCCGCCAGCTGCAAGCCAGGCAATCGCGGCGAGGACTCTCCAACGTAGCCAAGGGTCGTCTTATCCCCCCGACACTCCTCCACCCAGCTACACATCTGCAATGTTGCATAATAGAAGCCCAGCTTCCAATCATCCCACCATGCATGAAGCTCATTCGCTAATGTATTTATACTTTATTTTTTTTATTTCTTTTATTTAAATCATTTGCGATCCGAGTACACACGCAGTGACCGCATGTCGAATAACTGGCAAATATTGGATTAGCAATTGCCTCCGCGTTTAGTTTCCATTTTATTTTGTTATTATTATTGTTTGTTTTGATTTTAAATTGTTAGCATCGTCTTGTCTTGTCGTATAATAATAGAGCAACAAGCATGCTGCGATTCTAGTAACGCCCGCAAGAAAGAAACAAACAAAAAGATAAAAAGTACCCCCCGAGAACGTATAGCAGCAGTATATATGTATCCATGGCTCAGTTATGTGCAATGTAGAGTATTCGATGGTTACAGAGATGGGTGCGACATGCGACCGACGGATCATCACCAGCAGCAGCAGCAGCAACAGCGAGGCGCCCATATGTCTCATCTCAGAGGCCACACCCTCGGCAGGTTGCCGTCCCACCATCACGAGCCACTCTCAGGACCCAACAATGGCAAGTACGCGACTCTGAGCAAACAGTGCAAGACCCTAGAGAGTTCAGATTTTTACTGAGACAGGTAATAATTCATTTATCTACCACTCAAAATCATATCCGCACATTCACGTACATACGCGCACGCACAAGCACACATCTTTCATTTTTGATTTATTTATCTATTGTCTACGTAATTTGTACATTGTTTTGTAAATTGACTATCGGTTTATTTGATAAGTGTAGTGTTATGCGATGTAATTGCAATTGTAAAAAGGATATCGTTCGGGGTCTTGCTATGCTTCAATTCATTATATTTATTGGTCGTGGAGCGACGAGTAATGATGATTTACGATCGGCATATATTGTTATTCGATGATTTTCAATGGGCGTTAATTGCGTCGGCATGTGAAATTGATGATTCTATGTTGGAATCGAATTGGATGCACTTTGACCCCGAGCATATCTTGCGCGGCGGCTGTGCAAGGATGTGGAGCGGAAATGATTTACGCAGAAACGCTAGCAGATAGCGCGTCCCTCCTCGATTCGTTACCATTGTGTCGTGTTTTGATTAATCGTAAATTGTTGTAACAGCGGTTGGATTAAATTGTTTCGCATGTTTGTTTCAAGGGCTGCCTGCAAGGATTTCCCAAACTTCAAAGGTTTTAAGTTCGATCAGCAACAGCAGCAGCAACAACAACATAAGGGAGGAGCAGGAGGCGGAGTAGCGGAACAGCGGACGGCCAACATAAACAAGTTTAGTTCGTTGGGCCGGCGGCCGCTGCCCCAGCTGCCGGACGAGAAGAGGCAGGCCACGAAGCAACCGGCGGCTCCGAAGGTGCCACCGAGCACCATCTCGCAGACGGTCGAGACGCCCCTGAACCCGGTGAACTTCCGGTCGCTGCAGCGCGGCGTCGCCTGGCAGGACACGACCAGCACCTTCCAGCCGAACGTCCAGTTTCGGTCGCTGCAGAGGGGCGCCACGCACGCCCCGCCGCCGACGCATTCGGTGCAGTTCCGATCCGCGAAGATCCAGGATCAGAACGAGACGGTCTACGCCAACAACGATACCGAGCGACAGCTGTACGCCGTCACCGAACTCTGATCATCACGATGATGATGATGATTACGAAACGAAAACCTTTCTAGTTTCACCAAAATTACATACTGCCAATACTTGGGAATTGCAGGCAGGGAAAAATAATCTAAACAGAGACGCAGTTTTTTTAAATTTTCATTTCGACTTTGACAAAAAGAAAGAAAGCGAAAAAAAGCGAATAATAATATTAGTAATGAAAGAAAGATGAAAAATGAACATTCTAATAACATGCACACGCACAGACACGCTCGACTTGAAATTATCGATTGTTTGTTCGTTACATTGTCGTATTGCATTTACCATTAATTTTTAGTTCGTCATTCATTCTGAATTCAGCCAACTGATGAAATTGGGAACAATATTTATTAATATTATTTTTTTGTACACAAATACAAAGTAAGACCAACCTCTCAAGATGATGACGGGAGGTGATAATGTAACAAGATAAAAAAAAAACTTAGGGTACTTTACACGATGACAAAGATGGGAGAAACAAAGATTTTATAGATTGTAAGGAGGCGACATTCCATTTTTTTTTTTCTCTCCACCCATTCGTTTTGTCGTTCGGATGATGCTCACGAATTTAGGTTTAATTTTCTATCGACGATGTTGTGAATGTGTCAAAAACTATACAAAAAAAAGAAAAAGGAAGAAAGTTTACAAAAAAAAAAATTATATAAATAAGTGAATTGGAGAATTTGCTCTTACAAAAAGAAGACTTTTTTTCCGTAAGTCAATTATTATTTATTTATTTCTATCTTCTAAATTTTTGATTTATTTTGTTTCCTCTTCATTTTTGGTTGTAGTGTGTGTGATGTTGGGTCAGCTACCTCATCTGCAATGAGATTTTTGTGATTTGTTTTTGTTTATTTGTTCGGTTGTAGGTGGCTGAAGAAATTGTGAATTTCATATGAAAATTTGTTTGAAATCATAGATCGAAGAGTGAAAGGACTATTGTGAACGTTGTTCATTTTTTTTTTGTTGTAATTTTCCATGTGTAACTGCCAAAGAGAATTATGGAAAGAAAAAGAGGATCTAGTGTGGATGTATTATAATATTATTATAACAAAATATTTCTCACTTTTTAGGGACGTATTTCTTATATAAAACAAGAGAATATATATATATATTATAAATTAATAAATGAATGATTAAATCAATAACGATTCGGGACAGACGGAATACAAGTATAAATATTGTTTTTCGATTTCGTTCGTTATTTTATATGAGGAAGAGATGGGATTTGGGATGTGTTGTATATTGTTGTGTTTCGCGGATGGTGTGATCTAGTAGGGGTTGATGATGAGGAGGAGGATCACCGCCATCCAAGATCGATTACATCGAGTTTCTAGGCCTGCGATTGTTTACGCTACATGTAAGATGATGATTGACTTGAACTGACTTTGATTTCTTCTTTCGTTTTGTAATATATTGATTACGATTATCGTTGCCCGACTTTATTCCGATTTGTAAAATAATATAATCAACTTCTGGAGAAGCAGGATGAGGAGTAGGAGGAAGGGAGACATTATTTATTTGTACTATTTTAGTGAATATAATAATAATAATGATGATGATGATACAGACAAAATAAATATATAAATAAACAGATGACAGGAAACTGAGTAAAGAAATATTAAAAATAATTTCGATGATTATTTCCATTGCCCACTCTGCAAATCCCAAATATCCGCAATACATTGACAGTTAAACAATTGATTGACTATGACAGTTGACTTGATCATTGATGAGCAGGTGAGTTTTCAAACTGTGTTATCATTTGTTTAATTATACGAACGTCATTAGAACTCAATGATTATGCAACCAAAATAACGTTACGCCAATTAAAAATAGAAATATTTATTGCCTAAATACACTAACAAAGAGACTAACAATTTCAATAGTATATTTCAACAGATTAGAAATTAAATTATTACTTTCTGCTGCATAAATATCATTCATAATTATCACACCTCCCCATCAACACTTCTCTATGCAACATTATTGTCTGCATTCGCTCCTACTTTCTATATATATATATATTAAAAAAATCTACATTTCTCTTCTTTTCGACATTTTCTTTTTTCCTTTAAAGACTTACAAAATTACAAGTAAAATACGATTTACAAAAAGAAAATCAACGGACATACGACTGTTAAAATTATATACGTCTCTCTACGAAAAAAAAACAATCAAAAAAAATAATAATATAAACGAAAACAGGTGTATGTGTAATTTTGATGTTTTTTTTTTCAGGGTGGTTGTTGATGCTGCGACGGCGGCGTTAGGGCGACGTCTACTGGGCGATCTCCTTCATCCTGTTGAGGGCACTGCCGGCCTTGAACCAGGTGATCTGCAGATCGTTCAAAGTATGGTTGAGCTTGATCTTGTCGACCTTGCCGTCGGCGTGCTTGACTTCGCAGTCGACTTGCTGACCGGGCTTGAGGCTGGCCAGGTTGACCAGACTGATCTTGTCGGTCGGTTGAATCTTGTCGTAGTCGGAGGCGTTGGCGAAGGTGAGCGGAAGCATACCCTGCTTCTTCAGATTGGTCTCGTGGATGCGGGCGAACGACTTGACGATGATGGCCCTGCCACCGAGATGTCTGGGTTCGAGGGCGGCGTGCTCCCTGGAGCTTCCCTCGCCGTAGTTCTCGTCGCCGACGGCGACCCACTGCACCTTGTTTGCTTTGTAGTGACGAGCGACGTCCGGAACGCCACCCCATTCACCGGTCAGTTGATTCTTGATCTTGTTCATCTCGCCGTTCTCAGCGTTGACGGCGCCGATGAACATGTTGTTGGAGATGTTGTCCAGATGACCGCGGTACTTGAGCCACGGGCCGGCGGCGGAGATGTGATCGGTGGTGCACTTTCCTTTGACCTTGATGAGGACGGTCATGTCGGAGAGGTCCTTGCCGCTCCACTTGTCGAAGGGGTCGAGGAGCTGCAGACGCTGGCTGGACGGGCTGACGTCGATCTTGACGTTGCTGCCGTCAGCTGGTGGTGCGTCGAAGGTGTCCATACCAGGATCGAAGCCCTTGGACGGCAACTCATCGGCGAATGGTGAGGACAGCTTGAATTTCTTGCCATCGGATCCTAAAACACGATGATTACAACATTACATTACGTAATTAACATTCTTATTATTCGATGTTTCACCTGTGAGTTCTTGCTTGGTGGGATCAAAGTCCAGGGTACCGGCGATGCTCAATGCTGTGACCATCTCCGGAGAGGTGACGAAGCAATGGGTGGCCGGATTGGCGTCGTTCCTGCCGGTGAAGTTCCTGTTGTACGAGGTGACGATGGTGTTCTTCTCGCCCTTCTTAACGTCTTGCCTGTCCCATTGACCGATGCACGGACCGCATGCGTTCGCGAGCACGGTTGCACCGGACTCCCTCATCGTCTTGGCGATTCCGTCGCGTTCGATGGTCGCACGGATCTGCTCGGATCCGGGGGTCACGTTGAACGGAACCTTGAACTTGAGTCCGTGGCTCTGGGCCTCCTTGATGATGCTGGCGCACCTGCCCATATCTTCGTACGAGCTGTTGGTGCAGGAACCGATGAGACCGACGCGGATGTCCATCGGCCAGTTGGCCTTCCTCGCGCTCTCTCCCAGCTTGCTGATTGGGTTAGCAAGATCCGGGGTGAACGGACCGTTTACGTGTGGTTCGAGCGTGTCCAGATTGATTTCGATCACCTGGTCGTACTTGCAGCCCTCGTCGGCGGTCAACAGTTTCTTTCCGAACTTGTCGGCTTCTGTGGCGATGTCACCGCGGTTCGTGGCCTTCAGGTATTGATGCATGCGTCCGTTGTATGGGAACACCGAGGTGGTGGCTCCGATTTCGGCTCCCATGTTGCAGATGGTGGCCATGCCGGTGCAAGAGATGGAGTCGACGCCGGAGCCGTAGTACTCGACGATGGCGCCGGTGCCTCCCTTGACGGTCAAGATATCGGCAACCTTCAGGATGATGTCCTTGGGCGATGTCCAGCCGGACAACTTTCCGGTAAGCTTAACGCCGATCACGTTCGGGCATTTCAGTTCCCAGGGGATGCTGGCCATCACGTCGACAGCGTCGGCGCCACCGACTCCGATGCAGAGACCACCGAGACCTCCGCCGTTCGGGGTGTGAGAGTCTGTGCCGATCATCAGAAGACCGGGGAAGGCGTAGTTCTCCAGAAGAATCTGATGGATGATACCGGAACCTGGCTTCCAGAAACCGACTCCGTACTTGGCGCCGGCGGTGCTCAAGAACTGATAGACCTCTTTGTTCAGGTCCTTGGCCCTGGCCAAATCCTTCTCTCCGCCAACCTGTGCTTCGATCAAGTGATCGCAATGGATGGTGCTCGGCACGGCAACCCTCTTCAATCCACTGGAGATGAACTGCAGCATAGCCATTTGAGCTGTAGCATCCTGCATGGCGACGCGATCGGGCCTCAAACGAAGGTAAGATGTTCCCCTTTCAATGTCCTGCCAGAAACAACAACAACAACAACAAAATAAACAATCATTTTTTTTTTCAGATATTACAACTACGAGCAACGCACTTGGTTATTGGGGTCATCCAAATGGGAGTAGAGGACCTTCTCGGAGAGGGTCAGTGGTCTGTTCAGACGCTTCTTCACCACTTCCAAATTCGTGGACAGCTTCTCGTAGGGCAGATAGCTCTGGGAATCGAACTTGCTCATTGCAACCTTCGCGGCGGCGGCCGTCAAAGGCGAGAAATGGAAACATCTTGATTGAACCTCCTGAAGGACTTCGGGAAGTTTGCCACCCTAAAACAAACACAATAACAACTTTATTTCATAAATTCCAATTTATTTGCAGATTACCGAACGAAGAAATCATCATTGAGTTACATAAAACATCGAGAGCACAGAATATACGTAAATTGACGCTAATTGGATGGAACAAAGGTCGAGAAACAATTCAAGCAGATAAGTTTTCAGATACTGATAATTAGTTATATCATCCACATCTCCGGACTTTCTTTAATAATTTTCTTTTTTAAATTCTTTGGACAAAAATTTCATATTGTCGCAGTTGGTACTTTTTCAAGTCTGCGCATAGTGTTCATTTAATTTGCAGTATCTCCATGACAACCATAGATTGTTTCAATTAATTATCTTATTTGAGTAGCCTACTTATTATCTCTTGCAACGTTACCATCCAAATTAAACGGTAATGTTTTCAATAATTACGAATTTATATAAAAAAAACAGCGAAAGTGTAAAGTGCAAACTTCATTATCTAATTTTTTTTTAATCCTGAGATTGTTAACGTTACGCCGAAAAACAAACACGGACTTGTTTTGATGTTTTCCAAAGTAATTCCCCAAAAAAAAAAAAAGAAGAAAGAAACTAAAGATTGTGCGGAATTTTGTTTACACGAGCGTCTCGATAAAGCGGTTATATTGTGAAGGAATTTGTACCGAAAAAAAAAAAGAAGTTGTATAAATTTAGGACGGATGGTTGGGTTGCATAATCGGATTTAAGGTCGGGTGGGTGGTACGTTTGCATCGTAGGGTTGTCGATTTGTCATCCCTTAATTTTGCGCGCGGTTGATTAATTATGATTAATTTTTTTTTTCGTTTCAGATTATTCAGGCTGTTTCGTGAGCAAATAATTTGGACGGACGGACGGCCAAGGTTCCCCGCTCGAATTGGTTATGTAACGCGGCAGAGGGCACGACGCAATCGCGTCCACAGGATCTAATTGGAACTCTCTCGGTCAGAGATTAACGCGAGCAATGAGTTTACGCAAAGTGTATTTGGAATTAGGTATGAGCGGGGGTGTGTGAACGCAAGATCTGGGGTGGCTGCGAAATGATCACGTGGTCTTGCGGAAGGACACTTACTTGGCGATGCAAAACTCTCATACAGTACGCCATGGTTGGTTCGGATTTTTTACTTTCGTTGTTTTTTTTTCGTAAACTCAGACTCGGACGTGGCTCTTCATCGACCACGAGGACAAGAGAATCGCACTTCTTTTAGATCGGATCTGTAGATCGGATAGGAAAACCACACGCGAGCACCAGCAGCAGTCGCTTACTGAACACGCCGGGTCAGCTGTTCTCTACGGTGCTCGGAACTATTGGATCTCCCTCTCGTCGCGACGTCCTCCGTCTCTTTTCGACTTCGGCGATCACAGCTCGCCTCCTCTCTCTCGCTCTCTTTCTCACACACACACACGCTTCTATCCGACGTCTCCTATCAATTATTTACACTTTGTACGCTGATAATTTCGGCCTCGGCATCATTTTTTCCCCCAATCGGATTTCGTCGCCACTGACAATTTGACAGTTGAATGCCAAAACTAATCATTTACAAATGATTAGTTTTGGCCATCGGTGATCGTTTGTTTGCCTACGCAGACACCTGCAAAACAAACAAACACTTTGACATTCCGTGACATTATGACTATTTATAGAGCCCATACGTCATTCTTGACAATCTATTACTACACTTAATACCTTAAATACCATTTTTAGTGAGAATCTTACTAAACTTTTGGCATTTACAATCGATTGACTTAAGTTCATAGCATCAGTATCAATCTAATTACATTTAACCTACTAATCAAGTAACACATTGACAAGTCATAGTTTCCATGACTACCATAAAACTCACTAATCAAGTAACAAGTAACACATTGACAAGTCATAGTTTCCATGACAACCATAATTTGAAATCTTATAAGAATTCCTTGCAAATCCTATAAATATTTACACGCCGATTTGATGGAAATTATTTCTTGAAAATCATTTCATGGATTTCAGTTTCAAATTACATTATTTTTAGCGATTCCGAAAATACCTTCATCGTCTATATTAAACAAACAGAGAAAAAAAAACCTGAAACTTTTCATTGAGAAAATACAGATTTTCTCTAACAAAAAAAAAACAATAAACAAATGAAGAATGCGTGCAAATTAAATAATTATTGTTCTTTTCAGAACGATATCTTGGATTATTGGCAAATAACGACCGAATTAGATTCTATTCTTGGGCCGCACACGCAAAACCCCGAGACGACGGCGGCGCCTAAGCTTCTTATTTTTTTTTTTGCCCAATTTTAATTTTATTTTTATTTCGATGATAACTTTCGTCCGATTCAAAAATAAACCCGCAGAGACGCGCCGCAGCCAAAATATAGGTGAACTATCGAAAACGATCGCAGATAACCTCCGCGAGCGCCGAAAGAAAAACACGGAAAAATGATGCTGTTTTATCTTATCGTTGCAACGTTCAAACAACAAAGATGTAACCGACTTGTTTTATTGACATCCTGATGTTATTTTGTTTTGATGAAACAATAGATTGTTTAATATTTGACAGTAGTGACCGTAGATGACATAACGCTCACAATTGTTTTGCTGTAATAACCGATGAAGGGTAATGACAATCAATTGTTTCGTATTTACAACAGAGACGCCGCTGGCAGAAATGATCAATTGTTTCGCAGATTCTTCGGATCATGCGATTCGATCGTGCCATGATATTTTTTTTCTGCTTTTGTTTTTGGCGTGTGCATATTGAGAAATCGAAGCGGCTATAAATACATCGAATCGAATGTAAATAATATCAAAGTGCATCGCTTACAAATCGCTAACGAAAAAGTGAAAGAAACGCACGAAATATATTTGAAAATATTTAGAGCAAAATGTTATGAAACTGAACGGATTGCAGCGAAATATGCGCGGATTGTTATGTATGCAACTCAAAGCACTTGAACCTTTTGACTCTTATTTAATTAATCTACTACATAAACGCGTTACGCAATCTTTGTTTATGCATTTATATCAAGCTAATTGGATCGAGTAGTCGCAGTGTTTCGTTTCCATAGTATTGAATATCGACAAGTGAGGAAATTGTTATGAACTTTTAAAGTTTTGAAAATAATTATTTTGTATTATTACAAATTTTATTATTTATAAAATTCAAACGCAAATTCAATGTGATTAAAATAATTTATTCCATTGTTATTTTCCTTCTAGAAGAGATAAGCGATGCGATTTTGTTCTCTATTGTTTTTTTTGTTGAACACCTGCGTTTTAAATGCGTGGCGCTGATTGGCCGAGACGCATCTCCCGATCGGATCACCATGGAAATGCACGCAGTTGTTTGTTGTGCGTAGCCGCGAAAACATCGTCGACCTGCGTCTCCCAAGAAAATTCAACATTATCCATTCATCCGCCGCCGCAATTAACAAAGGTTAGTGTATTAACACAATATTTAACCTCATCTATTGATTGCCGTAATTCCCCGTTCTGTATTATTATTAATTTGTGCCGCAAATTCGATTTACAATTCCACATTTCAAAAATGACGCGTCGCATCCATTTTGAAATTTTCAACAATTTTTTTTTCCGACGCAACAAAATTTCATATGCAATAAACGCCAATTCGCTTCTTTGCAAATTCGATTACATTTAAATTCCATAATGCCTACTCATAATTGCTTTGCACGATTGAATCTAAATAAACGTAATAACCAATGTTTTCCGATTAGATATAAGCGCCCTCTATCGTCGAATTGATCAAACACTCCGATTTCGTTACTGCTGCGTCGGCGTGCGTTTACTCATTAGTCGTTCGCTTTTGAATATATCTATCGATATTTTTGTTTTTATATTAATTATATGGATGCAAGGTATTCAAAATACCAGGTCATTCTGTGCGTTTATCATGTTCGCAGTGTGTAACGCACGGAATGGCAAGACCGTCTGTGCT